CAAAAAACAAAAAAAAAACAACATTTAATTTAAATTGAAAAGCTGCGAAGTCCCACGTACCAGCTCGTTTTACGACTTTGGTGGCTGTATCATTTACTCGCGTAGGAAGTTGACTGTATGTTAGTATCCTGAAAACATCCTCTGGTTTCTCTACTGCACGGTTAAGAGATGCAACATCAGGTTGGTCGCCAATAGCAACAATGAAGATCTTAGCACCACGCCCTTGAAGAGGTTTGACGGCTTCTTCCAAGGATCTTCCTGCAGGAACATCTTGTCCAGCTGTCAACAATACGACTATCTTGGGAGCATCATTTTTTGCGAGTTGCAAGACTCTGTCAGCTTCTTCAATGGCTATGTCCATTCGCCTGTATCGACCTAGATAAGGTGTACTGTCCACTAGGCTCTCAAATTGTGATGTGCTAGTGTAATCGTTGAAACCAAAGACCCTTTGTGCATTGGAACTGTAGGTGATAACAGATGCTCTTGACTTGCTTGGTTCCACGTTCAATGCCTTACCAAATGACTTGACGAAATCCTTTTCGATTTGGAAGTTTGGCTGGCTGACATAGAAGGACGAATCAACCAGGAATACAACATCTGCTTTGAAATTGGGGTCGACTGGTTTAGGTTTTGTTTCAACTGCAATTGAAAGTGGTTGTATTAGAAATAATCTTATATATTATTTTATACTATATTTTGTGTGTGTTTCTCTTCTGTTACGAAAGATTGAAGTTATACACCTATATTAAAAAGGGTTGTCGGAACCAAAGGAAAGAAGCGATAGGTTATTCCAATATGGAAAGGAGGAAATGAATTGTGAGCATACAACTAAACAGGAATTAGAAGAGATAACTAGCTGAAAACTAGTGTAAGCTGCGTAAGTGTAAGTTAGTGTAAGTTTCTAATGAAACAGTAATGATAAAAAGGTAAATTTTACACCGTGAAAATATGAAAAAAACTGAAGGAGTGAACAAGACAAAAGAAACCAATGAGAACAAGGTGGGCAAGGAAACGAAAGAAACAAAAACAAGGTGTTTCTTTCGTTTCCTCGCCCACCTTGTTTTCATTGGTTTCTTTTGTCTCATTCTCAGTATATAAACACTCCTTACTACCACGTCTTTATCTTTTACTTCGACGAAGGACTAGCGTCCGAAGCGTCGGTAAGTTTTTTCATYTTTTCACAGTGTAAAATTTACCTTTTTATCATAAACAGGAATTATCAATGCCTTTAACATAGTTTCGTCGACTACAAACAACACTGGGTATCTTAACAGCAACCTTCTCGTTCTTGACGAGAATAATGATATAAGAAGCACAAGTCATTTTAGCTATTGTTGGATCTTGGAATGACATATCTCCTATCGCCTATCGCCTTTGGCTCCAACAACCATTTTTGAAATAGTTATATCTCCAGCATAAACAGCAACACAGTTGCAGTTGCAGGCAAGTTGATAGTTGCTTACCCACGGTAGTACTTGATAGTTTTTTTGCAACATATGGAGCTTGTGGCTTTAAAACCTCGTACGAAGGAAACGTTAAGATATCTTTTTCTTCTTGCACAATCGGACGAAGTTCATTCTTATCTGGACCTCTGCCAATGGCTACGACAAAGGTTCTTGCTCCCTTATCTCTCAACGGCCCAGCAGCAACACTCAATTGCTTTGAATTAAGAGCAGGGGTATGTCGTCCTGCCGTTAATAGGACAACAATTTTTGGAACATCTTTTCTTGACTCTGAAATCATTGCAGAGGCTGCATCCAAAGCTCTATCAATTCGTCTTGCACCACCAACAGCCTGAGCGCCATCAATCATACGTTTCAGTCCTTGAGTGGTTCTGTAAGAATCATACTTTGCGACTAGAGATGCACGGTCGCCATAGGTTATTACAGCAGATCTAGATTTCTGTGGAGCAACGTTCAAGGAGTCTAGTATGGATTTCACGAAATCCTTTTCTACTGTGTATTGTTGGTTGTTAACTTCGAAGGATGAGTCAATAAGGAAGAGGACATCTGTGATGTAATCAGGCGCAACCTTGGGCTCTGCGATATCAATTATACAAAATATTTGGTTTAACTGAAAAAAATGTACTTCATATTTTTTTGAATAAGATTTAAATCTTTCTTTTATAATTAAACGTATTACCTCTGTTTATTTGTATTACCCGTATCAATTTGATCTGTCAGATTAGAGTAATAAACTTCACCTGGGAAAATTTTTCTTAACGTGAAAATGGTGTTCCAATTCCAGCCACTGGTTTCAGTGGGTTATTTGTTTTCCAGCTGTAATGTGGTTATATGGGCACCGACGCTCAATGCATGAGTATAAAAACTCGTCAAATACAAAGAGTAAAGATTTTGCTATACCTACCTGGTCTTTTCGCAATTTCCTTGGCGATTAATCTATCTTGTGTTCTTAAAGCATCAAAAGAAATTACTGAGAATATATCAGGTGGCTGATCGACGACTGGGAGCAGCTCCTGTTGGTCTGGTTGTCTGCCTATAGCGATGACAAAAGTCTTTGAACCAAGATCTCGTAACGGTTGAGATGCCTCTTTTAATGATTTAGCATCGACGGCCGGATACTGTCTTCCTGCCGTTAAAAGAACTGTTATTTTCGGAACTGTTTTTCTTGCACTATTAAGGATTGTTTGGGCTGCTTCAAGTACTTTATCGATTCTTCGTTCCCCTCGCATCTGGGGAGACCTATCCACCAATCTCTCAAATTCGGGCAAAGAACGATAGGATGTAAAACTTGACACAAGTTGGGGTCTTTCTCCATAGGTGACCACTGCTGCTCTGGACTTGCCGGGAGATACATTGAGAAACTTTGCCATTGATTTGACGAAGTCTTTTTCTTTTTGATAGTCCAGATTTGACACTGACGCGGAGGAATCGATAAGGAATAGGATATCGGCGGTTAGTTTTTCAGGTGTTGGTGAAGCTGAAAAGAATAGATTAAAATATAAATAAATCTCTTTATTTGAGTATCTAGTCGTTCGTACCACTTTCACACTAATAGGCCCTTTGCAGTTAACGGTCACGTGTCTGTACTGGACGGCAAAATTTATGTTTTTAGATTAAATTGGTGATTCTTTTTAGGTACTCGTAAAGAACTGAATGAAAAGATGTGTATCCAGTGTGTTACGAAATGCAGTTTTATTACGATATCTCAAAACAGGTTGTAGAAATTTTGTTTGCTCTCCAGTAAATTTCACCCATGGGAATCAAAATGTCATTCATTTGCTCTCAGTGAATTAATAAGCACGTGATTGCTTAGCTGCAAAGGGCCTATTGGGGACACTTTTCACTCACACCCACTACCACTACCTTCAATTTTCTATGCACACAACGCTCAACTCGCATATTGATTTTTTCTGGGGGAGGAAACCGGAGAACCCGGAGAAAACCGGTTATATATAATAATTTATTATATGACCGTGAATCTCAGAGCCTGGACACTAGCAAATCGAGCAATCTGATTGGATAGATCGCATCGCGGACGGGTCTAGATTCTCCGGTATTAATCGGTCCGATCACATATTAATCTTACGGCGAAAACATTTTGTCCTTTTCAATGAAAAGTGGTCATATAATAAAACTCTTATCAACCGAGCCTGGTCGGTCTGTACGGGATAATCTTGACCTCGGTCGGGTATAGACCTCGCTGCGCTCGGTCTGTGTATTCCGACCTCGGTCAAGATTATCCCGTACAGAACTCCCGCTCGGTTAATAAGATCTAAATATCATTATATTTATGTATTATATATATAACTGGACTGGCAGCGATGAAAGACGACACGTCAGCAACGTACGCCACCCATGCAGTACCCACGGATGCAGAAGATTAGCATCAGGATCGCTCTTTTCTTGCACGAATAGGAACTAGGATGACATACTATACGACAGGTTTTATTTTCGCACCATCAACATGATATCTGTAGTTTGCTTTTTACAATCGTTGCAATCGTTGTAGTATGATACTAAAATTTAATAAATTTAACTAACCTTTTCCATGTGAAACAATTCTTGCGATTGGTGTGACACGTGACGCCAGCCCATCAAATGTGACTCCCGAAAAAATATCTTCGGGTTTGTCCACGACTGGTAACAGCTCTACTCTGCTAGGTTCACGTCCAATGGCGATGACATATGTCTTAGCGCCAAGATCGCGAAGAGGTTTGGCAGCGTCGTCTAATGCTTTTGCGTCGCGAGCAGGAGTCTGTCTTCCCGCGGTTAAAAGAACCACAGCTTTTGAAACACCTGGACGAGATTCTCGTAAGACGTTTGCAACGGAGTCCAAAGCGCGGTCGATTCGCCTTCTACCGGACTGACGGGGAGCTCTATCGACAAAGCTGTTGAAACCTGATTCATCACGATAGCCATCAAACTTCACGATAACCCGCGGGTTTTCACCGTAGGTAATGAACGTTGCCCTGGTCTTACCAGGTGATAAGTTGAGTGTGTTCACCATCGATTTCACAAATTCTTTCTCTTTGATATAATCTTCGTTAGTAACGGGATTGGAAGAATCGACCACGAACACCACGTCTAGGTTTGCACTTGTTGGTTTTCTAGGACCTGGATCATTCAAAGAATAACAAACACATTAGGCAATAGAAATCGTATTCTGATCTTGATCTCGGGTCAAGGGGGGATCCAGTATTTTCCAAAGAGGGAGGAAGTCGTTGTAGTAACATGAAATCAGAGGAGTTATTATATTACTTTGAGGATTTAGGTGGGCTTCTAATAAAACCTGGTCTTTTCATTATCATATACATAATTCTTTTGTTTTTCCTATCCGTCTTCAGAACGCTACTTCACTTGAAGTTAATTGCATATACGATTAGATTACAATGAATGGTATCGGTGACTCACCTTGACAAGCCGTAAATGACACAGATGACATATTTCCTAACATTCCATCAAAGGAATCGGTCATAAAAACAGCATCATCATCTTCAGCCAACAGCGTCAACTCGTTTCTGTCGGCTCCTGAACCAATCCCAATAGCAATAACATACACCCCTTCTTCTCTTAACGGTTTGGCAGCCTTGTCAAGGGGAATAGCATCAGGAACTTGTGCTTGTCGTCCATCGGTTATGACAATTGCTACTCGCTGGACATCTCGACGCGAGGTACCTCGAGAGCCAAACAAATCATCATGGGCACGTTGTAAAGCCTTGTCGATTCTTGTTTGCCCCCTCTGATATCCAAGACTCTGAACAGCCTTTGAGAAATCATTGATACTCGTGTAGTCGTTGAAGTTGATTTCTGTCCGTGCGTCAGAGCTGTAGAGGACGACTGCAGCACGGGATTTAGTGGGCGAGATTTCAAATGTGCTTGCTAATCTTGAGATGAACAGCTTGACTTTTTCGTAGTTCCTTCTGCTACTAGTTGACGAATCCACGATAAATGCAACGTCGGCCACGTGCGAGCAAGTTTCCGATTCTTGTAATTCAAAAAAAGGGAACGTAAGATTAGTAAAATAACTACGTTATGAAACTCTGAGGAATGAGGAATTCACAAGGACTAGGTATTGTAATGCTTCTTTGCAACTTGTCTCCGTTCTGTCGCAAGATAAAGAGTGCGCCGCAATTGGGCCAGAACGAACGTCACATAAGTCACTCACATAATTTTGCGGAAATAAGAGAATGCACTGTAGTTGCACCTAGAGGAGATGCTACGAATGTAGGGAATTTCTCATGCCACGTGTCGCACATGCGACCGCAAAGGACTTGGATACTGTGCTATTACTATTTTCTATCAATGCAAATCGTAACACACAAGCTGCCTGATAAAGTCAAACTTATAAAGCAATGTCTTTTGCCGCTATTAATGCGAGAAGTAACCTGATTATACTTTTCGCAATATTTGCCGCAAGCTGCAACATGCGAGACAATTTGCCAGGAGCCTTGCCTTGTGTCACAGCGTCTTACTTGTAATGCTTTATGGAAAGTAACAGCTTGGCAATGAAGCGCATTGCGTTAAACGTTCAGCTACAACATAGGAACAGTCTAACTTACTTTTTCCAATATGTTTGGCTACCGCTGGCCCTTTAGGAGCCAGACCGTCATAACTAGGAATGATAAACATATCTTCAGGTGTGCTAACTAATGGTCTTAGTTCATTCGTATCTGGTGCGCTACCGACAGCGATAACGTATGTTTTAACACCGGCTTTGCGTAAAGGGGCAATCCTTTCATTGAGGTCATCTGAACCAAAAGCTTGTCTTCCTGATACGAAAACCACTATGATTTTAGGAACCTTTGGCCGAGACACTTTGAATAGCTTTTGTGTGGCTTCCAATGCCTTGTCTATACGTCGATTACCACCTACGGGAACGGCTCTATCGACTCTGGTTTCAAACTCAGAGATGGTTTTGTAACCATCAAATTGAAATTGTAGAGATGGGGTGCTCCCGTAAGTGAAAAGAGCTGCTCGAGATTTACCAGGCTGAACGTTGAAATGTTTTGCTAAAGTCTTTGTAACCTCCTTTTGGGTTTTGAAGTCACTGTTTTGGACGTCACTTGACGAATCCGTCAAAAAGACTACGTCTGCATCAAAATAAGGCGGAACACCTGAAAAAAATATAGATTGCTAATATCAACAAAATGCAGACTTTCTTATAGCGCAACGATCAAAAGTATGACCACATTTAATATATTTGCATACTTTTATGCACGGGTTTTTGCAAATGCTAAACCGAAACATTTCGATGCGATGCCGGCTGGTTTTACCAAATAAGGCGTGTAAAAGCTTGTTTGGCAGCGCAAAACTCTTGCATAAGAGTATGAATACTGGAAGAGGTATAAATGCGCTGCAAATAAAACTATTTGAAACATATTTAGCTAACATTCTAAAAGTGAATGGTCTCTATATAATATAAATCGTGCTAACATATTCCATTCGGGAGGGGCGTATTTTTTTCTTGCAGTTTGGAATTCTGATTATAAAGGAAAGATGAAAAAGAAAGAATTTCAAATAAAAAAATTTAAACACAGTAAACTGAGAACCAGACGAGCCGTCAAGAATCCCTCTTCAAAATTGCGCTGCACTATCTCGAATACTTTTGCCTTGGGTTACTTACTTGATCGATCTACGATACTTTTAGCTGTTGGATATGCTGTTGACTTAAGTCCTTCAAATCTGACCACCTCAATAATATCTCCTGGCCTCTCAACAATGGGTTGCAGTTCTTGTTTGCTTGGAGCTCGTCCGATAGCAACAACGTATGTTCTTGCACCAAGGTCTCGCAACGGTTTAACTGCTTCATCCAGGTTTTTAGCATCTGCTGCAGGAGTTTGTCGCCCTGCTATCAGTAGAACAACAATCTTTGGAGCGTCTAGCCTAGCATTTGAAAGTGCATTCTTCGCAGAATCCAATACACGGTCAACTCTCCTTGATCCTCCTATAAATCGCGCCGCGTCTACTGCTCTCTCGAACTCTGGCGTGCTCCTGTAGCTGTCAAATCGGACTACGTCCTCGGTCCTGTCTCCATAAGTGATAACATATCCACGTGATTTTCCTGGAGTGATACTGAGATACCTTGCTACTTGCTTGACAAAGTCTTTTTCTTTTGTGAAATCCTGCTGACTAACCAAAGAAGATGAATCCACCAAGAAGACAACGTCTGCATCAAGAGGATCAACTTTAATCACAGGATCGGCTTAAAAAATAAAGACAAAAATATTGTACGTAAATACAAGCTGACTAGCCTCATGTTTTTGGCATTTTTCAGTTGCTCGTAATTTTTACAGATATTTGCCTTATCACTTTGAAACTGCATGTTTACTAAATCACTCATGGTATCTCAACTGATAACCTTCCAATAATTAAGCATTTGTTTTATAAAAATTAGGGCCCCACTTTTTTGCATAAGTTCTATACAAAAATGGATGAAATTTGACAAACATTTGAGATATTCCATACAAAGTCTTGTTCATCTGGAAAGTGAACAATTTGATTTGCCATCACTTTACAATTACGTTTAACTTACTCAATCCTTCAATGATCTTTTTGGCGATGGAAGGAACTTGTGGGTTAAGTCCTCTAAAGCTATCAATATCTACTACTTTGTCTGGCGAGTCAACGATGGCCCTTAGTTCCGTACTGTCTGTTTCTTTACCAATAGCAATGACATACATCTTTGCGCCCTGGTCCTGCAGTGGTTTGGCAGCTTCGTCTAGAGATTTTGCTCCAGAGGCCGGATACTGCCGCCCGGATGTTAGAAGTACAACTACTTTAGGGACATCAGGTCTTGATTGCTGAAGGACAGTAGAACCAGCTTCCAATGCTCGATCGATTCTTCGGACTCCCCCTGGAAACGGAGCTCTGTCAACCACACTCTTAAGCTGTTCATGTGTATTGTAATCACCAAATCTTGCCACAAGGATGGGTCTATTGCCGTAGGTTATCACCGCTCCTCTAGATTTTCCAGGAGCAATATTTAAAGCCTTTGCAATGTTATTAACGAAGGTCTTCTCGAGTGTGTAGTCTTCAAAGCTCACGAGGAAGGAAGAATCCATAATAAATAGGATGTCAGATGCGACTGGCTTTGGAGCCTTTTTACCTGAAATATATATTAATCATAAAAATTATTGCATCTATTCCTTAAAAGATACTTATTTTAAAATAAAGTTACCAAAACCCAATAAGCTGAGACCGCCGAGGATCATGGGAAACATTTCATATCGAATAACTAAAGCTGTTGATACAAACTGAAGTTTGAGCATACTGACAGGAGGTGAACATAAGTGCGGATTGAAAAATGTATCTACCTATATTCCTTGCCGGTCCCAGCTTTGCAGCTTTTCAGGTGACTAATTCTATTGAAGTAAGTATGCATACAAGTTTATCATTCAACATGGCGGGAAAATGTTAGCGTGACCTTTTTGCATTTATTAGTAGTTATTCAAAGTTTGAGGCGATTAAGAAGATAAATGCAAAATTATTAAATCCAAATCGAGACAAAGATCTTAATTTCAAATTTTTAGAACTTACTTATCCTTTTTGTTATGTCAGAAGCAATCGGATGCGCACGAGGTCGCAGATTATCGTACGATTGGACAGAAAGTATATCTTCAGGTCTGTCCACTACTGGTGTCAATTCTTGAGTACTTGGCTGGTTTCCAAGAGCTATAACATAGGTCTTAGCACCCATATCACGGAGAGGCTTAGAAGCTTGCTCCAAAGACACTGCATCTAAAGCTGGCGACTGACGACCTGCCGTTAACAAAACAACAAGCTTTGGGACACCTTGTCTTCCTTCTCGCTGCAGCTCTCTTCCTGCCATGATTAGCGCTCTATCGATACGTCTGCTTCCTCCTACATAGATAGCCTTGTATACTTTATCATCGAAGTCGCTTAGGTCCGTATAACTGCCGAGAGTGAATGGCACCATTGCTGTGCTACCGTATGTGATGTATCCCACACGTGCCTTTCCGTTGGGAATATTGAGTGAACGAGCCATCGTCGTGACGAATTCTTGTTCTTTTTTGTAGTCATCTCTGGGTACTGTGGAAGACGAATCTACCACGAATAACACATCAACTTCTGTGTCTAGCGGTTCTTTTGATCCTTTGAACCAAAACATAAGAAAAGAAAATATTCAGAAAGTTCTTGAAAACATCGTGTTTTGCTTATATGCTTATTGGTTGAATAAAAAATCAACTAAGTGGGAGTACAAGTCATGAACAAAAACAACTTATTTGTTTCGGCTTGAGAAGGTATATAATTTTTAGTTCTATAGGGAATGTCCGGCTTTGTATTTATTTTTGTTTTACCTTCGCAAGCATGCTGCACAAGAGATCCAACCATGTTCAAGAGTTCATTAAATGAGGTTGCCAAGACAGTGTCTTCATCCTTCTTCACAATTGCTCTTAGCTCTCCTTTATCAACATCCCCACCAACCCCGACTGCAATTATGTGTACTCCTGCTTCCTTTAGAGGTTGTGATGCCTTATCAAGTGAGACAGCATCACTAGCACTAGTTTGCCTTCCATCTGTTACAAGCAATGCTATCCTCTGGATACCTCGTCGAGCTGATCCTCCGGGACCAAACAAGTCACTGTACGCCTTATTAAGCGCGACATCCATTCTTGTGGCTCCACGCTGTTGTGGTAATCTTTCTACGGCGGCCTTGAAACTCTGGAAGCTACTGTGATCATAGAAGTTGATCTCTGTTATAGCATTGCTGCTGTAAAGGATTACAGCCGCTCTAGAATTGGTGGAAGAGACGTTGAATTTAGCTGCAAACCGCGCGATGAAGTCTTTCATCAAACTGTAGTCCTGCCTTGAGATGCTTGTCGAAGAATCAACAATGAAGGCGATGTCTACTGGAGCGGTGCAGGACACAGGAGCTTTAACACAAAAGGTTGATAAATGTTAGTGCCTAGTGAAATAATTGAACAATTGTATTTAGTTTTGGTTAAAACATAAAGTATGAACAAGATGACCTTAAACAGTCTGGAAACTCATATATACACATGGATTGAGTGAAAAAATATACGTTGCAAGTGCTGTGCTCCATTCGCTGGAAAGTTAAAACGTCCGAGGACAAATTTATGTAGTCCATTGGCTATGCCGGGCTGATCAAAATGAGTTACACAAGAATGTTCTTGATATTACAAATACCCACTTGAGGCAAGTGTCTTCGCCACGTCTTGAACTTTTGGTCTTAAGTCAGTGAACTCCTCAATCTTGATCAAGTCTTGGGGCCTTCTCACAACTTGTCTGAGTTCAGAATCATCTGTTTCAGATCCAATAGACACGACGTAAATATCAACACCAGGCCTGCGAAGAGGTTGAGCGGCGGATACGAGAGAGACAGCTTCAGGAGCTTGTCGTCCGGCGGTAAGAAGCACAACGAGTGTCGGGAAGTGTGGTCTTGCACTTGCTATCAGGTTCCGCGCAGCTTCCAAGGCTTTATCTGTTCTCCTATTGCCACCCATGTATGGTGCTCTGTCGACATTCCTCTCGAACTGTTCTGCCGTCGTGTAGTTATCAAAGGAGAACGATATTGGTGCGGTGCTACCGTAACTGACAAGAGCTCCACGTGATCTTCCTTGCATGATATTCAGTTGTCGTCCTAGATGTTTGACAAACTCCTTCTGTCGGACAAAATTCGACTGTGAAACTCTTGAAGAGGAATCAACTAGGAAAATCACATCGGCTTCAAAACTTGGGGCAATTCCTGTGAAAAAATAGAGGAAATAATCATAGTTTGATTAGCTTCCATTCATGTTCACTTCATTTTTTAATCCACCTAAGAATACTGAATCGTTTCTGAAACAAACATTTCCACATTAGGAAAAATGTTATGTAATTTGTTCATATTCTCACCAGAATTTCCCATGATTTGTCTGGATATTGGAAGGGAACCAGGTTCCAAGACTTCAAATCTATCCATTCTAATGATATCTTCTTTTCTATCTACATACGAAAGCAAATCTTGCGTACTCAGTTCGTTTCCGATCGACACAACAAAAACTTTCGCACCAACATCACGGATACGCTTCCTAACTCTTTCAAGTTCACTTCTGTCTGCCAAAGACAATTGCCGACCATAAGTTATCAGCAAGGCAACCTTAGTAACGTTTGGTCGTGCTTCTGAAAGAACTTCAGCTGCCTTTTCTAACCCTTTATCAATACGTCTTTCACCGCCAATTAAAGAAACTGCATCAACTTCACGCTCAAAATCGGCCCTTGTTCTTGAAGGGGAACCAAAGTCTACGGTTCTTGAAGCTGTGTTGCCATAAGTTACTATAGCTGCTCTAGATTTTTCAGGGTAGACGTTAAGTAGACGAGAGACAGACTTTACGAATTTCTTTTCTGCTGTGAAACTTCTCTGTGGAACACGGCTGGACGAATCCACGATGAAGACAACGTCTGTTTCGTAGGGGTTCAACTCACGAATTACTGAAGAATGATAAAAGTGAAAATAATTTATAATTATTTTCAGCTTTGCAAACATGTTTGATGCTGAGCAAATTTCTGTTGATCCAGATACACATTATACTTTTTCTGTTAGGTGTACTTAAATCAAGAGTACATCTTCCTATCCCATTATCCCATAACATAACCAACGAGTACTCATTATTTGTGATTTCTATACGGTGTTCAACATACAATGATCATTTGTATACGGTGCCATAACACTTACCTCGCCAGTTTTTTGTTTACCATCCAAGCTAACATTATTAACAACTTTTCCAAGGGCTAACGATGCTCACTATTTGAAAGAAATTTTACCAGTTCGCAAATCTCAAAAAGGGACTCCGCCCATTTCCCTTCGCATTTCAAGGTGGTCCTAGGCCAACCCCCCCAAAAATGCGATCGATCACTTAGATATTCAAGGCCAAGAAAAAAATATAACTTCATAAGAGGTCATAAGCATGGCGGCTTTGCTCTGCACGAACTCACCTGAATTTCTAGCAATATGTCGAGCAGTTGGTCTAATATTTGTTTGAAGTTGATCAAACGAATCAACAAAGAACACATCAGCAGGTTTCTGTGCTAAGCGTCTCAATTCTGTCCTATCATGATCTCCTCCAATAGCAATGATGTAGGTATTAGAACCAATGTCTCTTAAAGGCTGAGAAGCTGCTTCCAGCGTCTTCCCATTGGGAAGGGAGGGTTGTCGACCACTTGTTAGAAGTACAGTTATTCTAGGGACATTTTTTCTTCCTTCACTAAGAACAGACGATGCATATTCCAATGCTCGGTCTATTCTTCTTGGACCACTAACAAACCGAGCGCCATCTATCAGATTTTCAAGGTCCTTTACTGTGTTATATCCATCAAATTTAGTCACAAGTCTTGGAGTATCACCATAGGTCATTATAGCTGCCCTGGAATTTCCAGGCCTGATGTTCAGTACTTTAGCTAGAGACTTCACGTATTCTTTCTCTATTCTAAAATTGTTGTTTCCGGTAGAGGAAGACGAGTCCATTAAGAATACAACATCTGCAACTATTCTATCTGGGGGTTCAGCCTTCTTTGTAGCTGCAAAGTAAATTGGAATTACAACTTTTAAGTTCCTTTTATAAAAGAAAAAATGTTATTTAACTTCGGTCTGGATTTAGAGACCCGATTGTCATGGCTAATACTATGATCACACTTCGTTAGAGTGGGCCTTTTACCGCTTTTGTTTGAAAAACCCTAATACACCGGAAGCATATTTCTAGCACTAACTCTTGACGTTGACTAGTACTCTCTAGGTGAAGTATATAAGCGTCTTTTCATAAACAAATAAACTAAAGTACGCGAAATAATTATAACATCGACAATGACGATGACGACGAGGAGGAGGTGGAGAAGGAAAACAAAATCTACAAACAAATATTGCACTTTTGAATATTGAAATACAGAATACGTTTTTGCCTTCCATCCTAAATTATAATTAAGTAGTTTCTCTTGGCGGTACTCATTATGCAGCATTCAGTAATACGAAATCGTATGAACTGAAATAATTTGGGTCGCTACTTACTTGCGCCTTTTGCGACTTCTCTGCCTATAGATGGACTAAGAGGACGAAGTCTATTGAAACCATCCACTGGTATAATATCTTCAGGTCTTTCAATGATCGGTCTCAGCTGAGGCTTATTAACAGAATCACCGATAGCTATCACATATGTTTTTGCGCCCAGGTCACGAAGGGGTTTAGTGGCTTCGTCCAAGGACTTTGCGCCAGGATCAGAAGCATGTCTTCCAGCTGTGAGAAGAATAACCACCTTCGGAACATTTGGTCTACATTCCCTAATTACATCAGCTGCGTCGCCGAGTGCACGATCAACGCGTCTAGCTCCACCCACGTAGGGTGTTAAGCTAACCAGTCTATCAAACTCTGCAGTATTTCGATTGCTATCAAATCGGAACGAGATTCTTGGGTTTTGACCGTAAGTTATTAAGGCTCCACGTGATTGGCCAGGGACGATGTTGAGGCTTCTGGCAATGTTTGTCACGAATTGCTTTTCTAGTTGGAAGTTTTCTCTACTGACGTCAGATGACGAGTCAACCAAGAACAAAACGTCTAAATTAGCGTTGGTTGGCTTCCTTGGTTCTAAAAGTGATAAAGCAAAATATAAACAAAAGAAACTTGGTGTTTCTGGGCAATTAAAGCCAGATTTTGAGATCAATGAATCAGGGAATAGACAGATTGTCGTGACTGTATCCTTGGCTGCACCTCGTAGTACAAACATTATATTATAAAGAGAAATATATATAAACAAACAAAACTGCTCTTATGAACAACACAAAAGGTTCAGTTTACAGCAAACAGTACAAAAGTAAGAAGGACAAGACCAAAGACGGTTTATATTCCCGCCAAAGGGTGGGCCTTAGGGGATTTTTTAAATTGCGTAACCGATCCTCCATCACACTAGACTATTGTCGGTTTCCCTGAAGGATAAGAAGTTGACTGAAATATTCAGTCTTTTAGGCTTGTTTATATGAAAATAAGGTGAGCGTTCTGCTGAAGGCTAACGGTTATTTTTGGTGTCTCCTGAAGAAGCACTAGGTTCAGTCATCCTACTTCCATGCAAATAAAGACGTTTGGACCTTAGTTCTCGTTCTGTGATACCGAGACCGCAAAACTAGATAACTTACCTTCACAAGCACTTTTTCCCAATTTATCAACTCTGTTTCTCAAGTCATCAAACGAATCAGCCACAAGGACATCTGCGTCATTCTCCGTCATTAACCTGAGTTCTTTTCTATCAACGTTTTTACCGATACCTATCGCAACAATGTATACACCCTCCTTCTTCAGGGGCTCCGATGCAAGATCAAGCGGTTGAGCGTCAGAACTAACAGTTTGTTTTCCATCTGTTAGTACAACAGCTATCTTCTGCACTCCTCTACGCGCTGACCCACCAGGACCAAACAAATCCCTGTTTGCAAGCTGTAAGGCACGGTCTATTCTTGTGAGGCCTTTTTGGTGTTCTAAGGCGAGAACTGCATTGTTGAAGGCGTCCCAGCTCGAGTGGTCACCGAAGGAGATTTCTGTCTTTGCGTCGTTACTGTAAAGAATAACAGCAGCACGAGATCCTGACACAGAAATTTGGAAATTCTTGGCGAATTCAGCGACGAATGTTTTTACTTTTACATAATCTTTCCGGCCAATGCTCCCAGAAGAATCTACGAGGAAAGCAATGTCGACTACTGCACTGCACGATGGAATGCCTGTAAAAAAATGTAAAACCATGATAAGTATACCCGGATTAATGAAGTCTTTTCTTTGCATTTTTCATAATGCAATGCAATAGGTCCTTTCACTGGACGGAACTTTATTAGACCATGACTATTTCACATCCATTGAAAGGACCTTTTTCATAATGCAATAGGTCCTTTCACTGGATGTGAACTCCATTAGACCATGACTATTTCACATCCATTGAAAGGACCTTTTTCGTAGTCGAAAATGTCCTTTCAAAGGTTTCAAAATATTTCTGTTGTGATGGAGTTCACATCCAGTGAAAGGACCTATTGCATTATGAAAAAGGTCCTTTCAATGGATGTGAAATAGTCATGGTCTAATAAAGTTCCGTCCATTGAAAGGATATTTTGTTTTATGAAAAAGGTCCAATAAAGTTACCTTGGACGTAACATTTCTAGTTTCATACCACGTGCCATTCCCAAGAGGGTCATTTCTTTGCTTAACAGTTGAGCATGAGAAGACATATAAATATGAATACAACTAAAACAAAGAATCTTATTCTCGAAAGAATGACTCGTGATCTGAAATGGGAAAACATGAAACCCAAGGTTAAGAGATCAATAAGAGACTCACTTGATGAAATATGTCGTGAAATATCTGGCCCCTTTGGAAGAACCGCGTCAAAGTCAGCAAACTTCATTAGATCATCAGGTTTGTCAACTGCTCCAGATAAATCTCGTAAGTTTGGTTGAGAGCCAACGGCAACAACAAATGTCTTCGCCCCACGTTCTCGGAGAGGTCTCGTAGCTTCCCTCATTCCTTCCGCTCCTGGAGCCTGTCTTCCGTTAGTTAGTAGAACTACAATCTTCGAGGCGTCGGGTCTCGCTCGCTTCATCAACTCAGCAGCAGATCTGACAGCTCTATCTATTTTCCTTGCATCTCCGATGTATGGAGAGGTGCCTACTTGTGTCTGGAAGTCGGGTAAATCTTTATAGCTGTCAAAAATTATATTTGTTTTGGGAGAATCTGCGAACGTTATCAAGGCGCCCCTTGAGCCTTGGGGCTTGATGTTCAACAGTCTTGCAAGATAATTAACAAGTTGCTTCTCTCTTTTAAAGTCGGGTATGGAGACGTCCTTGGACGCATCAACAACAAATATGATGTCTGCTGAAAAACTGAGCGGAGCGCCTGAAAAGTAGATGAATAAATTAAACTATTTTGATCGAGGGTATGAACGCTGTGTCCTTGCACATTTAAGTGAAAAAAGTATACGCATTCGAAATCTGTTATTAATGCACTCCTGCAAACAGATTTAAAGCAGCAACTACAGAATTAGACTCCGAAACAGTTTTATAAAGCAATACACTGAGTATTCCATTGTGAGCATTTATATATGCAGAGTTCATTATAAGGAGGACGTTATGAATATTTGTCTGGCCTTGCAAGATTCACTGCGCTTTGTGGGAATATAGGGGAAGGGAGCAATACGTCCCAAGATACATTGGTTTTCTAAGTTTCCATGTTTCTCGGGTTTTCGAGAAAAAAAAAAGAGGTCTTACCAAGTCGTCTCACCATGTTGCGTGCTGTTGGTCGTGCTACGGACTGCAAGGTATTAAAAACATCAGTCATAAATATATCGTCTGGCTTGTCAACTACAGGTTGTAGTTCTCCTTTATTTAGCTGTTGACCTATTCCTATAACATAAGTCTTCATGCCTAGGTCCCTTAGGCGTTGTGCAGCTTCTTGTAGGTCTTTGGCATCAGGACTCTGACGTCCTGCTGTCAACAAAACAGCAATCTTTGGATAACCAGGCCTTGTTGACTTGGCAATGTTGACGGCCTCGTCTAAAGCCTTGTCAATTCTTCTTGGTCCTCCTTTAGAAACCGCATTGTCGACAAATCTTTCGAAGTCTGCCACCGTTCGATATCCTACGAAATCGGTGACGATTTCAGGATCCCATCCATATGTAAGGACGGCTGCTCTTGACTTGTTTGGTGCGACATTGAGGTATTTGGATATTATTTTGACGAGCTTTTGCTCGTGGAAGTGTTCAAGAGAACTAATAGGGGTAGACGAGTCCATTAGAAAAATGACATCTCCATTGAATGGTCCGGGCTTATCGCCTTCAAAATAAATAAATAAATAATAATAAATTAGTCACAATGAGCAAGTTAAAGTATCAAACCCCCCTTCATGTAAAATAGGATGCAAATTTACCTGATCGTTTAAGTATTTTCTTCGCAACTGGTGTTGATTTTGTAGTCAAGCTATCGAAGTTTTCAATGAAGAATATATCCTCAGGCTGACCAACAACTGGACGGAGTTCTTGTCCATTTGGATTACCACCTATCGCCATCACATACGTTTGCACGCCAAGTCTTCGAAGTGGTTCTGAGGCCTCAGTCAGTGGTTTTGTGTCCGATTCTGGAGTCTCTCGACCGGATGTCAGAAGAACCACTATTTTTCTAGAAGTTGGTCTTGATCGGAGAAGCTCGCTTACGGCGGTTTCCAGTGCACGATCAATTCTTCTTCGTCCACCAATTCTTGGAGCTTGCTCTACTCTGTTATCAAATTCTTGAATATTTTTGTAGTCGTCAAAGCCAGTTGCACGTATGTTGCTATTGCCGTAAGTAATCACCGATGCTCTGGACTTTCCTGGAGATACATTGAAATGTCTGGCCATAGTCTTGACCGCTGTCTTTTCTTTTATGAAGTCGTTTTCGCTAACGGTGGTTGAGAAGTCAATGAGGAAGACGACGTCAGCAGACCAGGATGAATCTATCTCTGGGGCTGTAAAGTAATAAACGTGACAAACTACCATGAAACGTCCACTATTATATTGGTACTGCAGCGTGGTATCGTACCATATTATTGTACCGCCTTATACTTCTAATTATTACATGCCATTACTATATGTTATATAATAATAGATAGCATGCCATTATAATGCAGCATATTTAACAAATAAAACAGCTTTTTCCGTGCTCCGTTCAGTAATAAAGCACGCAGGAAGTGACGTAAGCACGAAAGAAGTGTAACTGAGAAACACAAGCCGTAGGCGAGTGTTTCTCACACTTCTTGAGTGCTTTCGGCGCTTCCTAAGTACTTTATTACTGAACGGAGCACGGGAAAAGCTGTTTTATTCGTTTTATTATATAGTTACTAATTTAATTTCGGTATTGAATATATTTACGCAAAAAGAAAGAAGGTCCCAGGATCTAGCTGAACCTCGCGCGCGCGCATGCCGTCAGTACTGTGCTCCGTTCACTATTATAAAATAACTGTTATAACATTAACTACATAATAATATACTAACTACATAATAATATAGCGTATTGCACCAGGGTATTGTATACCTGTATGGAGTAACTAAATAGAAAGACTTTTTTTTTGCATTACTGTGAAAACCTTTTGCAGTTCGTACACGCATAAGCACTGCGGCAGACTTCTGAGCAGATAAGCTATTCCGCGCTCTGTTCTGTAATAAGCTCACAGTCGTTCTCTATAGCATGCGCATTGCGTCGAAGTAGGGTTTGGTGGACGTCAATCGAGGCGTTTTAGTGGCATTCTATAGGCGCGCGCCATCTGTGTTTTCCGACAACCGTCACGGAAACGTTAAAAAACTTACTTTGTCACAATTTCCAAAACCCTATTTTGTCGCGACTGTAAATTTCACGATTCCGAGCGTACTATTGAGAAAGAATTTAAATGTTGCCAATTCTATACCATGGCCGTGCCGAAGTCATACACAATCTTCTCTATTGCCCCGCTGCCATTGTATTTTATGAGAAGTCGAACATATTGTGCTGTCGGTTAACCTGAAACTGCGGGGTGTAAACGTACCTGTTCCGCCTGCCAATTCTCTAGAGATAGGCGATGCTTTTGACCTTAAATTGTTGAAGGATCTGACTGGGATTATATCTTCTGGTCGATCAACGGTTCCCCCGATTTCATTTTTATTCGGTCCCGCACCAATCGCAATCACATACGTCTTTGCACCCTTAACCCGAAGGCGAGCAGCAGCTTCGTCGATTAACCTTGTGTTAACACCGAGCGACTGTCTCCCAGCTGTTAAAAGAACAACGATCTTTGGTGCAGATGGTCTTGTTTCCAGGAGAAGCGTGCTCGCAGCATCTAAAGCTCTGTCCATCCTTCTCTGTCCCCCAACGTAAGGCGCACCATCAACTAATCCTTCATATTCTGCGGAAGATCTATATTCGTTGAATTTAAAGACAGTTCTTGGTTGGTCCCCGTAGCTTACGTAAGCAGCTCTTGATCCTGCAAGTTTAACGTTGAGGTGCTTGGATATCTGTTTGACGAAGTCTTTTTCTTGATTGTAATTGGATTGACTAACACTCGAGGATGAGTCGACCAGAAATATGACATCAGCGTTGGCGTTGGTTGGTTTTCTTGGCCCTTTCGTGTCACAAAAAAAACACGATCAAAGAATGAATAAGTTAATAAATACTAAATGCCACAAGTTAGAGTACAGTTACAGTAATATTGCCATGTCTATAAACGTTGGACATTTTGAATACCGTTTACGCAACAGACTTGTTGAAGACCTCACATTAAAAAGCAAGTATTTTTCAAATGTTCATAAAGGAATGTGACAAGATGCCCACCAGTGTTTTCTCTGTTCATAACACATTCAAAATAATACTAGAATCCAACAGTGAATAGAATATAAGAATAGGAAATATAACAAATCCATTGTTTTACCATATGGGAACATCTGTAATTCCCTTGAGTATTATTACTTTTTCGCCTATTAAACCATGCAAAGAACAAGCAATCTAATTCTCAAGAGAATAAAATGGTCTGGAAAACAAACATCACACCCAAGTTGATTTGGTCTATTCTGAACGACTTGATCTTCAGAAAGAAAAGTCTTCATCATACGATAATGGAACACTACGCAATGCTCTATCCCTTACCTTCACAAGCCTTCTTCTTAAAAGACACCACCTTCTCCTGTAAATCATCAAACGAACTGGCCATGATAACATCGTCATCGCTCTCCGTCATCAATCTTAGTTCCTTTCTATTTGCGTACTTTCCTATTCCGACCGACATCATGTAGACGCCTTCTCTTTTAAGAGGCGACGCAGCCTCATCTAACTCAATCGAATCTGGTGTTTTTGTCTGTTCGCCATCAGTTAGAATTAGGGCAATTTTCTGGACTCCTCTGCGCGCTGTTCCACCGGGACCGAACAAATCTTGATACGCTTTTTGGAGAGCGCGGTCGATTCGTGTTTTGCCTTTTTGATGAGGAAGACTTTGAACTGCGCGAGAGAAATCATTGATGTTTGTTTGTTGGTTAAAGTTAATAACTGTGTCGGCGTCGTTACTGTAGAGAATTACCGCTGCGTGGGATCCAGTTGGCGAGATATCAAATGTACGCGCAATGCTGGAAACGAATGACTTTATTTTGACGTAGTTCTTTCTGCCGATGCTCCCTGATGAATCAAGGATGAAGGCGATGTCTACAGGATACTGGCATGTCTGTGCTCCTTGGGAAGTACAAAAAGAAGAAAAGTAGAAACAAAAAATTAACATTTAGTCAAAAGTTGAGGTGAAATTTAATTGAAAAGCAAGTATGGATAGGATGGATAACATGGATATAAATAATCATTATTATTGTAAAATAGATAACCATCTGATAAGCAAAACTGAGGTCCGTAACCGTAGTTTCTTTCGTGTAGACAAAAGTCAAGAATTTATTTACATCTGCCATGATGTTCGTCAACTAAGAGACGCTGCAAAAGCATGGTTCAATCACAGATTGCCAAAGGAAATGCAGAGAAAAATCCCAAAAGCAAAGCAGAAAACTACCGACAAACGTCTATTATATTTAATACGGGTATTATCTAACCCTCGACCATAAAAGGTACGCATTAGCAGAACACACCATGTATATTGCTTCTCCCTTATATTCTCCGAAACCCACAGTTTGCTTTGTGTATTCAACATAGTATCCAAAGTCTTTCTAATAAAGATCACTTACTCTTCGCGATGTGTCTTGCGATCTGAGGAGCTTTCGGCCGTAGCCCAACAAAACTAGAAACAGGAAAGATGTCAACTTGATTTTGAACCACGGGTTGAAGTTCTTCCATATTTGGTCTGTTGCCAATAGCAACAACGTAGGTCTCAGCCCCAGCTTCTTGAATCTGTCGGGCAATAGGATCGAGCGGGCTCGCTCCAGTTCCTTCTCTTCCAGCTGTGACAAGGACGACGGTTTTCTTTACATCTGGACGAGCTTCATAGAGAAGTTGTCTGGTGGCGCTCAAAGCGAGATCCATGCGTCGAACTCCTCCTATATAAGGAGCGTTATTGACAGCATATTCCAAACCTGAACGATCAACATGATCACCATATCTGAATACAGTTCGAGGATTTACTCCATACGTTACCATGGCGGCGCGGGATTTGCCAGGCTGGACGTTTAGTAGACTAGTCATATGCTTTACAAAGTCTTTTTCTAATTCAAAGTCTCTACGGTTAACTTGCCATGACGAGTCGACCAGGAAGATGACATCAGTTATAAATCCAGGTGGTGCACCTAACAAAATAAGTCAGAAGATTAAAGTTATGATATGAAGTATACGTTGAAAAACAAATGTCAGTGTGAGTAATATCATTATACAAGTCTTTTACAAGAGCTGTATGAATTTAGCAATTCCCGTTAAAATTGGAATGTGAACTGCATGCTAGCGTGCACAGATTTTTGGGATATTCACTGAATAGGTAGATATTTTCTTTCCCGACAACAGTGGTAGACTCATGCGAAGCCGTCTTTTTCTGTTGTAAGAAATTTTACAATATTTCCCATTTTTTCACCTGAAACCATGTAGAGTGTCATTTTAAAAACCTTTTTGCGCCTTTAAACCTGCAGTAGGGAGTGTTTTACTTTCACAGAAAAAGATGACATAAACTTCCTGTAACGCGTTGGCAAGGCACGTACCTGCTCTTCCTGCTATTTCCTTTGCAATAGGACTCGCTCTTGGTAGAAGCTGTTGCGTGTTGTTCACAGGAAATACATCCTCAGGCCCAGCTACAGCCGTATTCATATCCCATTGGTCGATGTCTCGTCCAATAGCAACAATATATGGTCTTATGTCATTGTTAAGCAAGGGCTTCACTGCCTGATCCAAGGGCGTATATCCCGGGATTGGCGTTTGAGGTCCTGTGGTTAATAGAACTGCTATCTTGGGGACGTTCGGTCTGGAATTCTTAAAGGAATCAACAGCTAGTGCCATTGCTTCGTCTATACGTCTGGGCCCAACCAAATAAGGCGCTTTATTTACTTGATCAACGAAGTCTTCGTATGTTATGTAACCATTAAAGTTAATCGCTTGTCTGGCTTGTCCTCCGTAGATGATGAGAGAACCTCTTGATTTTCCTGTATCTACATTTAGATACCTAGAGATCGATGAGACGAAGTCCTTTTGCTTTTGAAAGTCCTCTTTACTGACGGGAGACGAAGAGTCAACGAGAAACAGAATATCTGCATTTATGTTCTCCGGTTTAGCTGGTTTCTGTGGAGCTGGAAGGAATTGAAAAGTTTATTATATTTTCATTTTATCGTGCAATTTAGGTTTTATGTTTAGGTATGAATGTTATTGCTTAATGGTAAATAACAATAATTAAATAATATAATAATAATAATAATAATAATAATAATAATAATAATAATAATAATAACGGGGTTCTTATATAGCGCATTTACATGGTCTCATTGCGCTTCACAATCATGACCAGTGGAGGACTTTACGGGCTGCGTATTTAGGCGCTAGTAGCAGCCGTGCAGCTTACAATCATGAGTGATTTGTTAGTAAGTTAGTATTAATGCCTCCAGATTGGGATAGGCTGTTGAACCGGGAGATAATCTCCTACTCTTATACGAATAATTCAACAGGTTCTTTTATGTCCCCCATTTTTACTGTAAGTTAGGAAGGGTTGGGAGACAGGGCCTACGGTTTTTAAGTCCTTGTCCGAGAAGACTTGAAGATCTAACCATTTGCAGATTTAATTACAAAGGCAGCACCTTCTCCTCAGTTATTTTAAGACCCTGAGTGTTGGTCCGGCCCAGGCTTGAACCACGACCTCCCGCACAACAGACCGACGCTCTTACCAACTGAGCTAACCGGGTGGCGGTATATTCGGGTAAATAATACTCGGGTTCATACCCTTCCTATGACATTACACGTTTTCCAGATACTGTTGCTGGTCTGATAGTCAGTATTTAAAAGTAGCATTTATTTCTAACGCCGTACACTGCTGAGATTGGACTGATTACCAAAATCGTCAAGCAAATTATCCAAGCAACTGGCCCCAGTATAGATTTTTTAGAGGTCTGGAAATGCCAATATTTGACTGATGGAAGACATGCAAAAACTAAGGGTTATGTATTGAGAATGAGTGTTACCTGGAGACTTCGCTATTTCCCTGGCAACAGGATAAGCTCTTGGATAGAGAACATCAAACGATCCGACTTTAAAGATATCTCTGGGATTGACAACTATCTGGCGTAGCTCTTGCTCCTTCGCGTCAGCTCCGATAGAAATCACGAACGTCTGAGCTCCCGCGTCTCGAAGAGGCTTGGTCGCAAGGTCTAACGCTTTGGAGTCTATAACGCGAGCTTGTTGGCCAGCGGTCAGCAATACTACGATCTTTTTGGCATTTGGTCTGGTTTCTGTAAAAAGATCTTCTGCAGCCTTAATGGCGGAGTCAATTCTCCTGACCCCACCCACCGACGGGGCGTTTAATAGTCTTCTCTCAAATTCCGCGACTGTCTTGTAATCTGTGAAGCCGAGGACCTTAGTGGCGTTTTTACCATAGGTAACTACAGCTGCGCGGGTGTTTCCTACCGTTACGTTCAAATATCGTGCGAGGGAACGCACGAAGTCCTTTTCTGTGTGATATCTTTGTGGTCCGACGATGTACGAGGAATCCATGAGAAATATGACGTCAGCATTAGCGTCTGTTGGCTTCTTTGGGACTGGAATGAATTAAAATGAGAAAATCGTTAAAGAGTAGTTCCAACTAATTATTAATATATTTCTACTTTTGTTCCATAAAGAAGATTTCGTGACGGCATGGCAAATTCAAGATATATAATTGATGATTGCTCTTGAACCAATCACAGCGCGCGAGATCAATGCTTTAACGAGGAACTATCACGGTCACAACACAGTCACTGGACGGCGCTGGCTGTACTACACAAAGATCCCAATTTACATTAAAAAAAGTTCAATTTTAATCAACGTTTGGCTACCTGTGCTTTATATGACCCTCGCGCACTGTACCGTGGATGTTTCACGGTCAAACCAAATTCGCTCTTAACGCTATTTTGAGTTCACTAAGCTATCGGTTTGGTCTACTTGTGGATCATCGCAATGAGAATGACAGTACCATGACCAATCAGAATCTAGTGTTCGTAGGTCAGCCCTAGTTTGGTTATATCAAAATATTATTTACTCGTTTTGTTAGACTTACCATTACATGCGCTTTGTGAAAACTGTACAACCTTGATGAGCAGATCATCAAAGGAAATGGCTATATACACATCCTCTTCTCGTTTGGTCATCAGTCTTAATTCGCTTCTATCCGCTTGACTTCCTATACCAATGGCTAGGATTTCTACCTCACTCTGCTTGAGGGGCTCGGATGCCTGGGGTACGGATAAGATGTGAAGAAATATTAGACGCCAACTTCTCATCATCGTGATCATCAACACCATTATCACCATATAATCATCAATAACACCACCATTACTATTCATAAACATAGACATAAACATAGACATCTAATAATAATAACACTCATCACCTAGCACGCGTCGCAGGCCCTTAGGGGATTTAGGGATTCTACGAGCCTGGAGTAGGGGATGGGAAGGGTAGAGGAACTTGGGAGTGTCTGCCGACAAGCCCCGCATTTTTGCCTGTAGCGCGGTCAAAATTATAAGAATTTGATTGGTCGAACATGATGCGTGCTGTTTGGAGCTGTCATGACAACAATTTACAGCTAAAACAAAAGTTTATCGACCACCGTAATAAAAATGGCGTCGTCAACCTATGATACGAGTCAATAATTTGAAGATTGTTTATCATCCGCTCTCGTTCAGTTAGAGCGTTTTGGATGCAATTTCGAGGTAAAAGAAGAACAGAAAAGGGCTTTGCAAGAGCTCTTTATTGGCAATTGGCAGAGACGTGGTAGGAATTCTTCATCCTTCTTATCCACCTTTATAGTTCCCCTCCACTCCCTATCCCTTCCCCAGGCTAACAGAATCCCCCAAAGACTGGCAGTCCAATTTGTTTTATGGGCGCCAACACGTGATGTTGCAAAGCCTCTACTCTATCTTTATTCTATCTTTCATTCATTTATAATCATCCACCAAAATAAGACGCATATTTAAACATACGTGTCAATGTTTTACCTGATTTAGAGGGACTGCATCAACTGCAGGAGTCTGTTTACCATCCGTTAACACTACAGCTATTTTCTGTACCCCACGACGCGATGACCCAGTTGGACCATACAGGTCATCGTACGCAACCTTCAGGGCACGGTCTATCCTTGTCAGCCCTCTCTGATGCGGAAGCCTTAACGCAGCATCTCGGAAGGTCTTATGACTAGAGTAGGAACCAAAGTCGATCTCAGTTCTTGCATCGTTACTGTAAAGTATCACAGCCACGCGTGCGCCGGTGGGAGAGATGTTGAACAGACTTGCCATGTGAGAGATGAATTGTTTCATTTTGATGTAGTTTTGTGTGCTGATGCTTCCAGATGAATCTACGATGAAAGCTAAGTCCACGGGAGCGTTGCAGATTGGAGAAGCTAAAATGAAAAAGAAGCTTCTATCAACATGCAGTCAATATTAGGGTCCCCCCCCACACACGCACACACACAAACACACACAAACACACACACACAAACGCACACACACACGCACACACACA